CTGGTAATCGCTATGAAATTTTTATACAACATAGAAGAAGAGGTAGCAGCCATATGGACATTTGGCTCGGTTAAAACTTCTTAAATAATTGGAAACCGAATCTCTTGCCAAACCTTCGATAACACTGGCCACAAGAAAAGTGGTATTTGCTTTTAACCAGACCCACATATCGACATGTATTGAGGTCCGTTTGACTCGTACACCTCCTAAATTTGGAGTTAATTGCGAAAATTGTCAAAAAATGGCAATAACGAGTCAAACGGACCTCAGATTCGGATTCAGAGGGTCGAAATACATGGCGGCAAGTGGGTCTGGTTAAAAGCACACACCAATTGTTTTTTTCTCCAGAATAACGGAGCCTTCGTTTTCCAATGTATTCTACCTTGGTTTTAAATTCGAAATCCAGCCCGCTTTCGAAGAAATTTTTTGTGAAACGGAGCTTATCTTTCCTTTAGACAATGGCAAAAAGGTCTATCACGCCGCGCTCGAGTGAACGTGTTAGCTGGCTTTGTATGGTACTACGGGGCGTATACATTACATACAGAACTACTGGTATATGAGCACGAGTTGTTATTTTGACTCTTTAGTATATCGTTTTTAAGTTTTCGGTTAAATCAGGGACGGTAATCATTATGAGTAAAAAAACTTAAATCAGTATTGAATCATTATTTTATGATTGTTATTTTTTCGCTAAAAATAATAATTACTCTGGTTTATAGCCAAAATGTTCAATGGATGCCACTATACCGAGCCTTAACCGCCAAAATAACGTAAGCGACATTTTTTTCAAAATTTCCTTTTGATGCAGAAATGTATCTAGATGCTCTAGGAATATTTCTGCATCAAAAAGAAAATTTTGAAAAAAATGTCCCTACGTTATTTTGGCGGTTAGGGCTCATATGTAGAATTGCTCGGTGATTCCAAATATCGAGTTAATTTTTTGAAGTGAAACTTCTTTAACGGCGGTTGGTTGGTTTGGAGTAAATTGGCAAATTCAGCGAAAATCGCACACGCAAATCGTGCAACGGAAGTGGTTGGGGCAGCAACAAGTGCTTCTTGAGTGTATGCATATGGTATTAATTAAAAAAAAAACTTGCTAATAAATAGTTAAAGAATAAGACTTAGAAAAAGACCAATCCGAGAATGAAAGTAAAGGTGAGTTCGTACATAGATAAAGAAAAGGATAAAAATAAAGGTAAATATTAAAACAAAAAAAATATGCGTAAAGATAAAGCCAAAAATGAAGGCCAAGGTAAATTTAATCACTTTACTTATAACGGGTGATTTTTTTGAGGTTAGGATTTTCATGCATTAGTATTTGACAGATCACGTGGGATTTCAGACATGGTGTCAAAGAGAAAGATGCTCAGTATGCTTTGACATTTCATCATGAATAGACTTACTAACGAGCAACGCTTGCAAATCATTGAATTTTATTACCAAAATCAGTGTTCGGTTCGCTTTACGTCCGATTTATGGTCTACATAATCGACCAAGTGAGCAAACAATTAATGCGATTGTGACCAAGTTTCGCACTCAGTTTACTTTATTGGACATTAAACCAACCACACGAATGCGTACAGTGCGTACAGAAGAGAATATTGCGTCTGTTTCTGAGAGTGTTGCTGAAGACCGTGAAATGTCGATTCGTCGCCGTTCGCAGCAATTGGGTTTGCGAAACACATTTCGAACCGAACACTGATTTTGGTAATAAAATTCAATGATTTGCAAGCGTTGCTCGTTAGTAAGTCTATTCATGATGAAATGTCAAAGCATACTGAGCATCTTTCTCTTTGACACCATGTCTGAAATCCCACGTGATCTGTCAAATACTAATGCATGAAAATCCTAACCTCAAAAAAATCACCCGTTATAAGGGAAAAGGTGAAGGGGAATATGTAGATGAAGAAAATGATAAACATAAAAGTAAAAACAAAAATAAATATACAGAAAAAGATGAGGATGAGGATAAGGATACCGATAAAAGTAAAGATGAAGGTAGAGGAAGAAAGATTAAAATGAATGTAATTATACAGAAAATGATATAGGTAGAGACACAGAGACTTATCGGTTTTGTTATGGATATTTTTATAGATTTTTTATGGGAATTTCTATGGATATTATTATCGATTTCGCTAGATATCGATATTGTCGGAACTTATCGATATAGTAATTGAATTTGCTATCGATATTCGTACTGATTTTGTTATCAATATTGTTATTGATTTTTATCGATTATTTAACGATTTTTTATCGATGATTTATCGATTTTGTTGTTGATATTTTTATCAATTCTATTATCGATATTTTTATCAATTTTTTAATCGATTTTTCTTATCGATTATGTTATCGACATTTTTTATCGATATTTTTATTGGTTTTGTTATTGATATTTTTGACTTTGTTGTCGATTATTTTTAGATTTTGATTTACCGTTATTCCACTTAAAAAAAGAGTGACTCCACTTACAGGTCTATTCTGCGCAGGTAACAAATTTTATAACCGGTAATTAAAGTGTCTACCAATTTTTAAACTTTTTTCGCATTCTGTGCTCTCTTGAAACCGGTAAATTTGGTTACCATCACATAAGCTGGTAACAAAATATTGCCCCGTGAAATATGCAATACAGGAACTTCCACAAATATTTTCACTGCATTACCAACGTACCTAGAATCCCGGTGACAAGAAGTGGTAACATTTTTTGGTAATAAAATTTTCCGGTCACAAAATCTTCGGTAACGTGCAGAATAGACCTGTTAATCACTTAAATCTCAAAGCATAAACAGACGGCAGCGTTGATCTGGATTAACTCGTTAATTCGGAATTATCTCGGGAATTAACTGCACTTGATCCGGATTAAGTCCTAGAGTTAATTCCCAAACTTAACTCGGATCAAGGGAATTTTCGATGACAACAGTGACCAAAACTCAGAGAGCGTAGGATACAGGGAAAACGCAAAATTAGCATGGACTTATACCTTTTCATCGATAATGCAGTCACTAACACTAATTCAAATAGGAATCCAATTTACAGCCCTATTCTGTGGCCCTCACAAAAACCACCACACTCACTATTGTGAGGTTTCTGACTATTGTGAGGTTATCCCTATGCTGGCGTAAATTCAAAAGGTCAAACGCTCACAATTGTCAGAAAATTTATGATTTACGAATGATACCCTCCCCAGGGGAAAAAGGCAGATTTTTATTGAGCAATTGAAAAATGTTTTGTTAATTTTCGTTCGCTATCAGTGTCTGTGTTGATTTTTTTAACTAAAAGTATATTTAGTAATGGCAGAGTTTTTGCTTGTTATTGCGGCAGTTTTAGAAGAGCAAGTGCAGACATACGATTTCATTTTCATACAAACTTTTGCACCAAGTTGTGGATTGCAAACTGTGTGAAGCACTGGAGCTCCTCCTGCGTTGTTATTTCTTTTTGAATTTGTCTAGAAAATAAATAAAATCAGTAATTATAAAAAAAAATTAACAAATTGCAAAAATATTTACTTTTCCTGTTGTTCAGCATCCATCTTTTGTATTTATTTTATTTACGATACAGCTGATAGACAGCAAAACGCTTTTCACCTTGTGTGGTGATTTGGTTTTTTCTTATGAGATCTGGCCAAGAATAACCTCACAAAATAGACCTCACAAGAGATCTCACAAATTTTTGCTCACAACTCAGTTGTGAGGTTTTATACGAATAGGGCTGTTAAAATGAATAAGAACTTCTTTCGGTGACTGGATTACCGACGACAGGGTGGATATCTATGCTAGTTTTGCAGTTTCTTTGTGTTCTACGTTAACTGAGCAAATAAAGCGACCGACTCATTCATCCGCGGTAGCTGAGTGGTGAGAGCTGCGTACTACAAGCAATTGCCAAAAAAAAATTTTTTTTATTATTTCTATTATTTTTCTAAATTTTGTTTCATTTATATATTTAATTGTTTTTTATTTTATTTTCGTTTGTTTTATTTTATTTCACATTTTTATGTTATTATTAGTTAATTTAAATTTTTAAAGTTTAAATTTACTAAAAAACTAAAAACAACTAAAAAAAAATTGAGATTATAATTGAATCAGTAAAAAAAATTAAATGAAAAATTGTTTTACGATGATTACAACATTTAAAAAATAATGATTATTTTCTGTCCCTGGTTTAAATACAATTTCGCAATGAAATCTTGTGCTTTACGAAAACTGAAGATAATGTACTATCTAACTGTCTCCATTAGCGATTGTTTAGCTGCTGCGATAGATCTCCGGCGATTAATCGCTTGTGGAGACCGCTCATCGCCATCGCAGGAGATAGATAGCAGGGGATATCGCTTGGGATTCCTTTTACAAGGCAATGTCCTAGGCGGTAGTCACCATCGGCTCTCTCTGCACTACCGGGAGTTACTAAAGTAGTCTCTTGCGTGGTTTATGGGCGCCCTCTGTCGTAGTTTTTCGCTATCCCGCTTACGACTGGTTCGACTCTGCACTACCATGTGCACTACCACGGGTTTAATAGAGTAGCTACTTACCTAGGAGTCGGTGCGGAAACGGTTCAAAAGTAGCGATTGACTCCAGCAGTACTGGAGGGTAGTTTCACAGCATGTTTAAACTTTGAATTTTTATAGAGTTGTGCTTTTCTATAAAATATCTGCTCAAAACAACGTGGAGTAAGCTATTTTTTCGACTAAAGTAATTTTCTTCATGTGGCATGTGCTCGTAAGCACTTTTTGAAATAAAATCTTTGGCAATGAAATGCCCAAGTAGAAAAATTTCTCTGCAATGAATTTCAACAACCATTTTCGCCCAAAAACACGTTTTTGTAAAAAAAATTTTCAACTCGTGAGATTTCCTCATATGTCTACATCTGCCTCGATCACAAATACGATTGATTGTTAAAATAAAACTGAGAAGATGCTTGAAACAACTTTTGATGTATGTACTAGTTTTTTCCGCTTTCCATTCATTTCTCTTATATATTAATTCCAAGTGTTCTTTCATTGTTTTCAGATTCTTACTGTACATCAATAAATCTGCACCGCTGGCCATACATTTTTCGCAGCAAGTTGTACGCAAGATTTACTTCAATCAAACAGGTGAGTATTAAAGCAAGATGTTCACTACATATGTATGTATGTATGCATTAAAGTACTGCAGTATTCAACATTTTCTGTAAAAATGTCATTTTCAAAAATTTCATGCATTGCTATGACATGTCAACTCAAACAAGGTGTTATGCGATGTCATTCCATCTCAAACATACTGTTATTGCATGTCATTGCAGCTTAGCTTAGCTGTTGTGTTTTTGCAGCATATTTTCAATACTGAATGATCCTGGCTTGTATCAAAATATATATCGATTTTTAATTAGACAATTATTTAATGAATTTTACTATAATATGAGCTTGCAAAATTTGAAAAATCTCTTCACGTGTATACAATAGAGCTGTTCAGGAAATTGGTCTTGGTTTTGCATTAGAAATTGCATTTGAAAATTTGAGGCCTACTATCATGGCAACCGTTTGCATTTCATTGTTTTGAATTTACAAATGTACCGAAATATGCAAATGCAAGATCATATGCACAATATCCTGAACAGCCGTAATGTAATTAATAGTGCTGACTATGTCGCATGTGTCGCTTGTGCTGACATGCATAGATTTGATGCATTATTTGATTTCAATTTATTCGGCAGTGTCTTCATATGCCTAAAAAAATGTGTACTTGCCTTTTAACTATAAACAAAATGTATACAAATTTATACACTTTGCTTATGGTTATGTAGCTTATATTTCTAGGCTCTGCATTTTGCATAGAACTCCGCAGTCTAGTTACATACAATGGTACTCTACAAATCCGTATGTACTTCTTAAATTTAAGGAAATAAAAAAATTAAAAAAGTTGGTATAATTTAAGTCGCTATTAAAAAATTTTTGCAATAATCTTATCTACCATTATGTAAAATTACGGAGTTCTTCCTAGTTTTTGACCATCAAGTATGAATGCTAACGTCGTTATCACACATCCACCTAGTACTTGTATACGTCTGCGGGATCCCGGAATCGAATATCTTATGCTTGTAAAAATTAGCAAACAAAGTTTTGCTTTTTATTAAAAATGTGTCTAAAAAATATTAAACTCTTTATAAAAGAAAAGAACGCATCATTTCATTAAGTACAATTTCGCAAACTGTTATATAACAAAATATGTAATCCAAAATAAAATAAAAATAAGTCGAAGCTAAGAACAAAACAATATTTTTGTTAGTGCACTGACTTCACAAATACAAATACAAATATGTTACTTCTAATAGCACTCGCTTATAGAAATCCTGTTCTGTGCGAAAAGGGAATCTATATATAATTGCTCAGCCATACGACTTAGTTAGGGCGATCTGCAGCAGTTATACATCAAATAAAAGCGCAAGCTGCAGGTCACCGCGTTTGTCAGAAACGTGGCAGAAAAGTCGATAGTGAGCAGTGTAATCTGTTGAAAAATATTTACCAATTCTCCATGGAACTGTGATTCGGGCTCGTATATAGTATAGAGTACTAAGCAATTCTATATTTTGATAAAGCTACGCCTAGTTCACTAATATACGAGTTATTACCAAATACGAAAAATATTCCAACTTGATTTTATATGGGAAAATTCTGAGCTGTTTCTACCGTCACGGGTAGGACAAAGAAGAGACACTGCTTTTTGGAGAACATATATTTTGCGGAAAGTCTGTGAATTTACTTAGCATTTCTTTCTGAATTAGATGTTTTACTATACAGAAAAGAACCAGCAGTCCTAACAAAGCACAAACCATAACAAGAATTAGTTGTTTATTACAAAAAAATTCAAAGTTCTCCTGTCACGGGTGGGACAACTTTTATCACGGGTGGGACACGTACGATTTTCTTCATGAAATGGAGCTTGTAGTAATATCCATATCAAACGGCTTAGGTATGATACATGTTAGAGGCCAAATACAAGATCAATTGACCCACTTTTATCACAATAAAGTCATTGCAAGACGCACGATATAGTGATGCCCTCAGGATCTATTTTAGGGGGCATGGAAGAAAGGATTATTTGCAAACGCATGCAATCTCATATGCATTTTCCAAAGGCATTTTTGCACGGTGCATTTGATTGCAACGAAATTTCGAGTGTGTCTTAATGATTTTCAAGTTTGTATAGACTAGCTATGTATGTCTGGCTAATACTAACTACAGGTTAAACATGGACATCGACTACTATTATCACGTCGATAGCGATGTCTAACCTGCCGTTAGTGTTAACCAGACATTGAGTAACCGGCCCTAAGAGACAAATCAGGTTCAAATTTAGCTATTCTTTGGTGAAACCATAATTGTTAGTATTGACTTTTAGATTGTTGTTAAGCAACCCTCATCATAGAATTCTCTGGCTTCTCTATGATAGTAATATTTACCTTGACTTTTCGAGCTGACCACGCGAAATTTTTTACTACATCGCTTGGCCCATCAACAGTATTATGGTATTTAGTCAATCTGGACTTCAAAGTTTTGTGGCATTAAACATAGGTTTGAAGTGTTAAACTTATTTTTTTATTGTTAGGTACCATTAGAAAAAATTTATAAGTGATTGTCACGGGCGGGACACGATAAAACGTTTCAAAATCTCTAAAGTTGGTACTTATAATATAATAAAAGAAATGAAATAAGGCTGCATAGTATAAACATACTCTAGTTATGAAATTATAGAAAAATCCCTTAAGTAGTAACTAAGCAATACGAAGTTTAAAACTTTTTTGTCACGGGTGTGACATGCAAAACCGTAGTGATTTCATCCCTTAATATAATTTAGATGCCTATTTTTCTGCAATGCCAAGTTGCTTCTTTGGGACGAAGGCAGATCGAGACATTTATTCCCCACTTAAAAAAAAATTACTTTATAAATACTTGATTTTGCAGATCTTTCTGTATTAAAATATATTGTCGCATTCAATTACTTTTCTAATATTGAAGTTTGGTGTGCATTTACGGTGTAATAAAATAATATAACTAAATTTTTTCTTCGAAAGTACGTTAATTTGAGGTATTTAGTATTGATTCGTCAAGCATTCCATGTTCAATAAGTCACTCTATAATTGGACACAAAGTTTCACTTACTAATGGAATACCCCTGAAGTAGGTTCATGAATATCATGTTTATTTTTTAAATACGTAATATCTGCAAGTATTTCTTTAATGCATTCACCCGAATTTCGGGGGAGTTATTACTAGTATTATGAATTTGACAATTTTTAAGCACACATCTCACTTTGAGCCGTTATTGCATCTACCTCTTCAATTATCACTATATCTTTTCGGGACTTGCAAACTAACATACTTGGAAAATGAAATAGGAGCTTATTTCAATTTTTCTTTAATGTTCAGAAAACAAAAAAACGTAAGGAGCGCAAACTCGGTGTTGAATTTGTCGTGGGAGAAATACTCCGTCGCCGAGTACTGGCTTTCACTGCCGTGGACGTACTTCTAGCTACAATCCGCATCAAAGCGAAATCCTTCAACATTTCGCTCATCTGTGCTCATGCCCCGACATAGGAGAAGGATAAGGCGTCCAAAGATCTTTTCTATGAGCGCTTGGAGCATACATATCAGCGCTGCCCCCGACACGATATAAAAATCGTGCTTGGCGATTTCAATGCCAAGGTTGGCAAGGAAGGGATCTTTGGCGCCACTGTCGGAAAATTGAGCCTCCACGACGAAACGAGGCTGATCGACTTCGCCGGCGCTCGAAAAACCGTTCTATGTAGTACTAGGTTCGAAAACAAAAATATCCATCAAGCTTCATGGCCGTCTCCAGATCGAAAAACGAGAAACGGACCACTATCTTGTTGCAGCGAAGATATCCCCTGTGCAGCAAAAAATGTGCGCAAATGCAATTTCAACTGCAAACCCAAGACCATTTCCACAACATCTTGAACAGCCCTATTGGGTTTTCATTGGAATTATCCCTGACTGCTGGGCATTGTGCAATGAACACTATTTCTAAGTAAAAATATAATAAAATATAATGAAATAAATAAATTTAATTTTCTTTACGGATCTAAGGAGAAGTTGAACTTTTTTAGCTCTTTGCTACAGCTCCGCTCCAGCCAAAACCCTATGATCTTTAGCTCCTTGCTCCTTTGCTCCACTCCGCTCCGAAGCCCTGTATTGAAGTACGGCGGCGAGGAGCTTGTAAGGTACATGCATCCCTTATGCAGAATATGGTCAGTTGAAGGCATGCCCGACGACTGGAATGTAAGTGTATTCTGCCCAATTCACAAGAAAGGTAACCCGCCATACGCGGCACCTACCGCGGGATCAGCCCTCTAGGCATAGGTTACAAAATTTTATCGAGTGTCTTCCGTGAAATACTGAAGCCCACCGTAATCGAACTGATTGAATCTTATCAGTCTGGCTTTAGACCTGACAAATCCACCGTAGACCAAGTATTCATAATACGCCAAGTCTTTTAAAAGGCCCTTGAGAATAGAATCGGCAGACTCCATCTATTTGTCGATTTCAACAGCACGAAAAGAAGTTGTCTTTATGCCGCGATGACTGAAGTTGGTATCCCCGCGAAGCGGATAGGACTGTGTAAAATGGTTTTAAGCAATACAACCAGCTCCGCCAGCATTGAGAAAGACCCTCTCCGAACCGCTAGATACCAAGCGAGGTTTCAGACAGGTCGACTCACTTTCATGTGATTTCTTTAGTCTGATATAGTCGAAATTGTCGGCGAAAGCAAAGGATACGTCTGTTCTGCATTCTCGGGATTAGATAGAGAAGCAAGGCGAATGGGTCTGGTGGTGAACCAGGACAAAACTAAGTATCTCCTGTCATCACTCGAACAGTCACAGCATACGCGTCTCGGCACCCACGTCGCTGTTGGCAGATACAAGTTTAAAAAAGTGGAAAATTTCGTTATTTGGGAACGAGCATTAACACCAAAAATAATGTGAGCCTTGAAATCCAACGGAGAGTCACTCTTGCCAACAAGTGCAACTTTGAACTGAGTAGGCAACTGAGGGGTAAAGTCATATATCCCCGTAAAAAATGAGGCATGGGCAATGAAAACATCTAATGAAGTGACTCTTGGAGTTTTTGAGAAGATTCTGCGAAAGTTTTACGATCCTACCGCGTTGGCGATGGTGGATACCGCAGATGATTTAATGATGAGCAGTACAACGATATAAACATGGTGCAGCGAATTAAAATTCAGCGGCTCCGCTGGCTAGGTCATGTTGTTGGAATGGACAGAAACGCTGCAGTTCGGAAAGTATTTAACGCGGGTCACGATGCTGGTAACAGAGGAAGGCCTCCTCTACGTTGGAAAGACCAAGTAAAAAGGGCTTGGCATTTCCAGTTGGCGTCATTTGACACAGAAGAGAAACGTCTGGTGTTCTGTTTTTGACTTTGCCAAAATTACTTAGGCGGTTACGGCGCCAATAAAGAAGAAGAAACCATATACGTAGAAATTTATAAAAATTCTCAATAAAGCCATAAATTAAAAAACAAACAACCCATAGCTATCTCAGCCCAGCGGCGGTAGTTTTTTTTACTTCCCCGTGACAAATACTCGTATATCTGGCCTAGGCGAACGGTTGTGCACTAAACTAAATTTTACGCATTGAGGCTTTCGGACTTAAACCTCTTTCTTTACATACTTTTTCACATTCTACATCTTACTCCTCCATCCAACGTCCGTTCTTGCTTGATCTCATTTCGCATAACTCTTCGACTTCATCTTTTTTGCAATGTTCACTTTTTGTTGCTTTTTTCCAACTTCATTTTGCAGTAAATTTATCGCGGTCACTTATGTCGGATCAACGCACTGTGGTATTGCCTTGTGCACTGCGTGGCCAATACGATATTTTTGTGCAAGCCCGTCAGCGAGGCTCTATCAAAATTGAAGCACGTGCCGAACATCCGCAATCCAGCTGGCCGCTACTCAATCGCCCGCACCACATCAGCATACGCAGTCAGAATTGGGTACGCAAACGCCAAATGATAGTCAAGTGGGACAAGAGGTGAGCATATACCCAAAGGTAAAATGATTGTAGTGAGTTTGTGACCATTATTTTACTTCCCTTCACTGCCTTCGTCCTCGTCGTGGAGCAGCAAATTCGATTTCCATGCAGTCCACTACTGTCTGGTTGTGAATACAGGCCAGCGACAATTGAATTTCTGCAGCGCCGTCAACGAATACTTCACGAGTACAGCCCACCACGTAGATGCTGACGCACCGACCAACTGCTACTCGGGATCTTTGATGGATTATATCTGGTTGAAGCCTCCGGATCGTGCTAAGAAAATTGGTGAGTCGCTATTGAATTACAGCCAGTCAATATTTCATTGAAAATTTTTCATGTGCCGTTGGTATTTTTTTCTCATACCCACAAAGATCCACGCACCACCAACATTATCTGTACGGGTCCTCACACTCAGCAGCTACTGAAGGGCGTGCTGCCAAATCTAACATACTACTTGGATGTATTTGGCGTGCACACTCGCCGACAAAATCTCACTTTCCACATTGCCTCTACACAAGTGGACTTCAATCGCACACATCCCGTTTCGTTACGAGCTAATATGTTTACAATGAAGAAAATATCTGGGCTGCATGGCGTACAGGTCTTCAGCTTTAAGGTAAGTACATAGGTATATCCATACATTTGATTTTAAATTCTTCGTATCGCTGGGACAGATTTGGAGAGCATCAAGTTTGTTTCGTGGCTGTAGACCGGTGATTCCCAAAGTGGTTCAGGTGGTTTCTATATTAAAGAATATACATGTTGGCTTGGCTTTACCTGCCAATGTACATAGGCATCGGCGTAGCCAGAATGAAATTTATGGGGGGCTCGACCCTATTAAGCCGGCATTTCAGGGTACTATTTTATATATATATAAGGAAAATTTGAAAGATGCTCGAGCACCCCCCCCTTCCCCTACCTGGCTACGCCCATGTACATAGGTACTACTCACTACTCAAAAAAATTAAGGGAGCGAACAAAAAGATCCAAGTTTTTCTTTGAATTCCGACAGGCTGTATTTCGATGAAAAATGGTAGTATTGAGCTCATTTTGAAGCTGTAATTTTAAAATTTCTCATGTAATCCTGACCTATAGCGCTAAAAAAGTTTTGATCTTTTCTTGCTATTCGGTTTTGAAATATTTTTTTTCTTTTCAGTTAGGCTGACATATCGTTCTGATAGCCTTTTTATTAAGCTTTTTTAACACCTACCTTAATATTTTTGAGAAATGTATTTAAAGAGAAATAAAGCAAAAATTTCCCGCCGAGGAGTAAAAATTCCAACTTTCTCCTCCAAATAATTGTTTAAAACACCGCTGACCAATTTAAGATTTGTGAAGCACATTGTAGGCAGTCTGCTTATGTACAATTTTTATTACAATTTAGAAACGAATACGTTTAAGCCTATTCTTTTACAAAAACATCAAGCTATCAACGAATGAAATTGATTGATAAATAAAGTTGTGAATGGTCAAATGAAAATGCGTAATAATTTCCACGCAAATACACATATCGTTGTTTGAAGTACAAAACCACGTATTTTTTGCCAAAAGTTAGATTTGCTCACACAAGCTCTTGGCCCAATCCTTATCCATTCCTCCCGAAATATACTAGCCAGAAACAGTAGCTCCGAAAATTGGGATTTAGCTCACAGCTCTTTTTTTTTAGCTCTTTTGAGAGTTATCTAGCGCCTTTTAGCTCCAGAAAGTTTTAGTTTTATTTGGTAATATATTAAATTCAAAAATCTGTGATTTCATTGTTGACTAAAATTGATTTGGCTTTGGTGATCTCAGGCTATTTTCGATACCTTCATGTTATTCTATTTCGATTAATACTTAGAAAAGTTCCATTCCTAATGCAAATGGCGTGTAAGCAAATGGAATATGGGCAAGTAAGTCGATATTTTGATGTACTTGTATAACTAACATCAAATGAAGCAAAAAAGAGACAAATCCGAAAATAGTTTAGTGGGAATTTGTATACCCGAGCGCACTTGTGCACAAGGGTATTATAACTTTGTTCACATAACGGTTGTTTGTAACAGACAAAACGAATCGAGATAGATATAGACAAATGTATACATAAATGAAAATTGACATAAATTTCAGAAATGCTTTAAATTTCAATATTTCGAAATTTAAGGATGCTAGTTTACTTAAAATTTATACACCCGCTTATCATGTAGCGGTAGCTTTCGGAAAGGGTGGAAACATATATTTAATACTTGCACCGGGTATTTAATGTTCGGCTCCGCCCGAACTTAGACTTTCTTACTTGTTTTTTATGTAGGTTTTTATGGCGTTATTAAAGAGCGAGAAAAGTTAAAATTTAGTTGTTTCTCCCATAAATAATTTTTATTATTAATGATAATTTGTTAAAATCCTAATCATCATTTATTACAAGTTAAATACCACTTCTATCATTATTATCATAATTATCTTCATCATTATCTTCATTACTATTTTCGTCATCAACATCACCCACAACATCACTTTTTTAGGTAATTTTGTATATGATAACGAATACGAATTGTACAAATTTTCTCTTCAACAATTATCTTCATGTTTTTGTTAAGCCTAGAAAGTAATTAAGAATATATAACCTTTAATAAAAATAATCATCATCTTCGCTTGCGTCATTGTCATCAATATCAACATCTTCATCATCGCTATAAGGCTTCATAATTAACAACTGTTTTGTTTCTTTCGGCAAATCCTGGAATTTTTTTTGGTAGTTTCCTCATACTTGATACAGGGTCGAACTAATCAAAAGTCTATTGAATATATCTTTATTCGTATTTTTTCTGTTGCACTTGCGGGAAAAATGTTCTCTGTAGCTCTTAAAACCTTTTTCGCGCCTCTAGAGCGTCTTCTGACAATTGAAGTTTATTATTATTTTTTTTTAACACGGAAAACCTGTAGAGGACTCAAGCCAACTTTTGTTTGCTTTAAACAAACGTTCTTCGTGACTACAGGACCTATTCCAACGAATTTTGAACTCAGAGATAAAATATCTCATCTTTTCATTAAATTCCTTTAAATTTGCATCAGATGGCCTGATGCGATCTTTCATTTGTCCCGTTAAAACGTTAAATCTGTCATTGAATTGATCGCAGCCAGAGTTTTTCATTACTTCATAAAGGCTTTGACGAGTAACCCAAATTATATTTGAGCTCGTTCCTATAAAGAAAGTAATCATATAATTAGGCCTTTAAAGTCTCCGTTTCCCCGTCTACCCGTAACCCTATTAGATGAAAATATCATCACTATCATTATTTCTATTCACTGCACATGATATTCATGCATAGAAATAACAACACTATAAACAATAACAAAGATTATAATTAACACTAAAAATATGCAATATGTACCATTCTTTACGGTTTCACATATACCCTATAAATCATTGGACAAGTAAATTACGTAATTCTAAGTTACTATTGTAAAATTTAATAAACCCAAATTTTATTTTACAAGTTTAAGCAGATATGCACATAAATGTATACATACTTTTTTTGATACATGCAAGTACTAAAAGTTTCGCCTTTAAACCAAACAGTATTTAGCCTACTTTTGATAATATACGTATGTACCTAATAGTTATGCCGTATGTAGGGTAAAAAAACAGTAATTGAGCAATCAGCGAACGTGGAGAATAACAACATTCAGCCCTATTCTGCATTTCGATTACGTTCCCGCATTCCGCTCCGCTGCAATCGAACTTAGGTATTCTGCGTTACGATCGAAACGAAAGAAGAAGAGGAAGAGAGAAAACATCTTTCGAAATCAGCTGTTTGCTTAGGAATGTGTGAAATCGAAACAAAACAAAGAAATATATGCCACAAAACTATAGCTGCATATGAAGTTAAAGTTTGTAAATATTTTATAATAACTAAATATATGTACCTAGCATCACTGTAATTTAAAAATTAAATTTAAGTGGATACATAGTTATAAGAATGAAATCCAGAGCCGCAGCGTAATTGCTTGAAGAGAAGAACGAGTCACAGATTGCTGATGCGGAAGTTGAAAGGCGGAGATTTAGGGACATGTTTGATCTTTTTCAGATGAGTGAAGAGTCATAAGGAATTCATCTTGAACTGTATTACTCCTCGCTTAAAGTCAGTGAAATTATAAACGTTGTTTGAGCACTCCACAACATTTGCATTTACTACATAGTGGAAGATTTGGACACAAATGAATCCCATTTTGAAAGCCGTCAGGAGGAGGGGAAGAACAAAGCTTATTTCCATAGCAAATCGAATTCGAGACAACATACGCACCTCTTTTTAAAAAGTTAGTAAAAACGAGTGCAATAAAAAAAGCATCTTTTTTATGTAACTTCACATTTTATGTATGTATGTATCTATGTGCATACATCTAATAATTTTATATAAAAAGAATAAATTGAATTCAGTGCATTTCACAGTCTTATTTATAGATAATGTAAACTAAAACGCCAGGACTTCCACTTTGAAAACGTCGCGCAATATCCCTTTTGGTTGCCATTATTTGAGCAAATTTTTCGTATTGCCCGCTCGCGAAAACACAGAAATCGAGAAAATTCATTTATGATGACTTTTACAATCATGCATTATATTGTTTAAAATTAAATTTTATTGTTTAAATCCACGAAAATAACAATTGAAACGTTCTCCGTCAACAAATTTGCTACTTAGAAAAACGGAACTACGATCGAAATGTAGAATAGCTATAATCGTAAATTTCGAAGATTGATCGAAAAGAAACGGAACGCAGAATACCAAAGTTGCCAAACGGAGAAAATTTCGATTCGAGTCGAAATCCAGAATAGGGCTGATTACTTTCTTGTATGTTTTGTACTTAGTTTTCACTTGTTATGTTTGGTTGTGTTCAAGGCGAGGTGATGTTACTGGCGAATTTAGATTTTCGCCGCGGTACTTCTTAAAGTCATAATTCACCTTGTTTACAACAACCACATCAGTTTGACATTAGGAAGTACTGCGGCGAAAATCTAAAATCGCCAGTAACACCACCTTGTATAAATTCGCCTTGGTTGTGTTCTTCATCGAGAATTTCATGTATATTTCACGAACGAGGTTATATTATATAAATCGATATACTGAAAAAGTGCGCAACTTTTTTTTTACAGATAACACTATACAAGGTATATTTAAATAATTACACGTTTGCTTGATCGCACCTACTTCTCAACAATATGTCTACGTATATAGCCAAAAACCCCTTATTTTTACGCTTAGGCTAAAAAATAAAATAAAATACTTGGAATCACAGTAAAAGAAAACTAAAATCACTTTGTATTGCCTAAATACCTGAACAAGAAGGTTCCATTGCCGTTTCTGATATAACTTTAAAGAAAACTCAGATATAGCTTGGAAATTTGAAATATTAAATCACGTTTTTCACTTTGCGCACTCTCAAAGGNAGTCTTATTTATAGATAATGTAAACTAAAACGCCAGGACTTCCACTTTGAAAACGTCGCGCAATATCCCTTTTGGTTGCCATTATTTGAGCAAATTTTTCGTATTGCCCGCTCGCGAAAACACAGAAATCGAGAAAATTCATTTATGATGACTTTTACAATCATGCATTATATTGTTTAAAATTAAATTTTATT